TGAAGCAACACTAGAGACTTAGAGTTCAAATGAGCTTGTCTCATTCAAACTAATTATAATAGAAAACACTGAGAAAGTAGATAAATAACCAGAATCTCTCTTGGTTCACTATTAAAGAGACAAACCTTCGGTGGTAGGTGATTTGATAGAAGAGCATTTGTCCTCCTTAGTATGAACTGAAAAAATTAAACCATTCAAAGCTGAGGTCAATTTCCAATTCAAAGACGCTCTGTACATGCAGAAATTAACCTTGTGAGAAACTGATCGTAGAACTTATATGAGAAAAGATGATAAATCCCAGGATTGTATGACTTTATAGGACTAGATGGTAAACCAGATAGCAAATAAGGATAAATTCCTGGATTGTCTGCTAGCGCAACAACATACCTGATTTACTATGGCACTGAGCTCTGAAGAGCGCTCACAACCTAGATTTTTCTCCTCTTCACTGGCAGTAGGTTCTCTTCCACGGATAATTGGCGCCTTTACAAGTCACGTGACAGATCACCAAAATAATCAAATTATAAGAAATTGAAAAACACAAAGATGGAGATAACCACAAAGGGTTTCTTCTAATCGCCAGTGAATTCACAAGTACAGCGACAATGTATCCTAGTGCATGAGTATTAGGTTGTATGACTACCTTTCTAAGTGAAATCATCTTGATTTCACCATCAAAAAAACCAAAATTTTTCCATCTGACAATGATTAGCTTGCAGGTGTTCCAATCTGAAGTGATTCATAAAAAACAACAAAGCTTCCCTTTGACTCAACTGTCTTTTTCATTTAATATGGTTCAGTTGGTGCATCACCCGGGGGTTACTTTAACCATGGTGAACCACAAAACCAAGGTGATGCTCTTAAAGTGTCAGCACACGACTCATCTCTACAAGAGACAGTGTTAATGTAGCACCAAAACACATAAGACCGTCAGTGAAATAGAATATTAAATACATGTATATCACATCTTTCTTTCTGTGCATTTTGTCTTGTCACTATCATAACTCCAACACTATAACAGATGCCCAAAGCATGTGGCAGTAAAGCAATTGACTCACCTCGTAGTAACGGCGGAAGTATGCAATGTCACCCAAGATTGCAGGATTTGTGAAATTAACCATGGCAAAGAACTCTTCCAAGTCATTCTGAATAACAACAAAAGTTTAAAGGCTAATTAAAAAAAACCAAGAAGAATGATTGATAAAAAAGACGCACATTACATTCGAAGCAGAAGCAAACACTTTGATACCCAGAAGTGGAAAATGGTAATCAGAAACAAATGCTTCTTACCTGCATTGGGGTTCCTGACAACAAGATGCGGCGTTTACAAGAGAGAGCAGCCAAAGCCTTGCATGTTTAACAATGATGTCAAAGAAGGAACAATCACAGGCATCAACAATGCAGGAACATATCTGGTAAGCATATCTTACCCGATTTGTCAATGTTTGGTCATTTTTTAGTCTATGAGCCTCATCACATATGAGGAGTTCACAGGATTCATTGTGGCTAAATTTTGATGAATGCATCCGGAATGTCTCATATGAAATAATAAGAACCTGCACAAGGGAATTTGAATTTAGTGAGGATATCCTAAGACATGAAAACTGAATAACAAATTTACCTGTAGAGAGCTATGGGGACTTGTGAAACGATCAATTCCTAGAATGACGTCATCTCGGGTGCTTTCACAAAGAGCAATAAGCTGGATTCTGTCTCCCAGCCACTTACTAATTTCTGCTTCCCAGTTACTCACAAGACTAGTGGGTGTGACAATGATGGCTTTCTTAACCATTGGCTTTCCATCAAATCCTTGACGGAGCAGCGTGTACAGTAAAGTGATTGACTGTAATGTCTTTCCTAAACTGCAAAGTACAACAAATCATACGAATTTTGAGATGTATCCAAACAAATTGGACATAGAACAATGTCAAGACACACAAAAGAGACATCATGGCAAAGCTAAGATATTTACCCCATGTCATCAGCCAGAATGCATCCATTTATGCTGTCATTACCACATAGACCTGAAACACATTCAAACATAAACTGGACGCCTTCCCTGCATGAATAAATGAGAACCACTTCATTTGTTTTTATGTAAGACAAGAAAATGGTTTCTCGAATACTGCAGTGAGTTTCCATGCTACAGGATCTTCCTATTTCTAATCAGTCCTCTAAAAGTTCAATTGCACACGTGCGCGCGCAACACACACACGCACACACATTGCTGGTGAACATATAAAAGTCTTCTGACACTTAAATTTCATCAACCAATTCCAGATGTCTTTCAAGAGCATTACCTTTGATGGGGTCGAAGGAAACGCACAAGCAATGGATCCACTTCAATTGACACTGCACTACCAGATGCGACCTCCGAATCTTCAGGTTGCCACAGCACCAGAGGTTCAACCCCAGGTGGCAGATCCACCTTCTCATCCTCCACATCCCTCTCGGCAGCGCTTGGTAACACATTGAGCCGATTAGTTACTTCCACAAAAACAGGCCTTGAAGAGCCCCATGGTACAAATCTTTTACGGGCTGAAAGACGACGATGAAGCTGTCCGTTCCTATCATCATATCCATCAGTGCAGGGAGGTTTGAAGGGTTTCCGACACACGGCAGCTCCTTCCGTCACCGAAAGCACTCTTGGTAACAGTGCCTGCCTTCTCACGATGAGGTTGCCTCTGATTTGCAAAATTCACATGGCAGAAATTTATCAGATCAAACCCAGAATAAACCCGAACTAAAATCCAGCCAAAATCAACGTGCAGAAGAGAAGGTGAAACTAAAATCAAGCAACACCAAGGGCAAAAATTATAGCTCGCTAACATCTACATCCCGTCGAACAATTCTATGGCAGATTTCTTGGTCACCATACAATCCGTAAAGCACAGGCGAATTAAAGTAATCTCATCAGCTATCATAGCTTTGGGGCAAATCGATCGCGTCGGTTATTCCAAAGAAACCTCCATCTCAGAGCCTATTACTGTGATCGTTCCCCCACCGTTTCGCCAATAAAATTGCGGAGACGGAGCTGGCAAGTGCGAATACCGCTCCCGCGAGATCGGAAAAGTTGGAAATCACCTCACGAGAGCGTCGATGTTCTTCGACTTCCGGTACTCGTCGCCGCCGGCCGGCACGGAGGAGCCTCTAGATCTACGGTTGCGACGTGCCCTAGCTTCTCCCTCGACCGCTGCTTCTTCTCCTTCTTCTTCTTCATCGCTTCCCTCTCCTCCTCCTCCTCCTCCTCCTCCGCCGCCGCTTTCTTCTTCTTCATCTTCTTCGTCGTCGGTCGGAAGGTACGAATCGGAACCTTCAGAGAGGACGTCCTCGCCGTCGTCCATGGATGACGCCGCTCTCTCCCACGCACTCGCACGGTCAACACAAGCGCGACGGAGCACCGCTGAGAGAAGGCAGCAGGATGGCGGTAAAATGATGGCGGGCTTTAAATACCATGAGAAATGTCGTTTTTGCCCTTTCCAATACCATGACGTGAGAATGTGCACGGGAACCGGACCGAACCAATCGGGTTTTTTGGCGGTTCTCGGTTTCAGATGCAAAAAAAAAAATACCCTGACCGGACAGGACCAATTGTCAAAACCCTAAACCGGACTGATCCAACTCGGGAACTATATCGGGACCAACCGATTCGGTTCTTGGTTCTAAGATGGAGCCTGCCCAACTTGTGAACTGCTCAACCTGTTACGACGATATGGTCTTTGTCTTTGGATGTGTATTGTCATTATGCGTTTAATTTTTTCACTCTCCCCTCTAATCCTCATATAAAATTGCATACATATATACATATACATATGTATATATATATATATATGCAATTTAACTTAAAAGAGACAAAAGTGAAATTGACCCAAAAAAATAAGATGGGATAAGAACAACATAAGTACCGTACTTTTGTACGGGTTCACTTGAGTGTCATACTTTTTTTTTCGCTTACTTAAGTGTTATAAATTTGAAAAAATCGATTACTTAAATACTATTGGCCATTTCCTTTGCCGGAAAATCCGAAGTAGACGCCGATCGTCCTACGTGGCATCGCGAGCACTAATGTGGACAATTGTTGTAATTTTTTGGCTCACTTAAATACCACAAATTTGAAAAATTGATCACTTAAATGTCACAATTTTGAAAAACAATCACTTTAAGTGCTATTGATAATTTGCCTAGTCGGAAAATCCCTTGACGGCGTCGCTCAGATCCGACAAGGGCCTTAGCACTCTCGCTCGCAGTAAGGAGGGCACAATGGCCCTACAAGAGGCCATTTAGGCCTCATCGGATATGGGCAAGGGCTTTTGCAGCCCGTCGACTGCGGGCAAGGCGACCTCACCCAGATATAGTGAGGGCACGCGCAACAAGTGACGCCGCGATGGCCTTGGGCGAGGCTATCGTGGCCTCGCCAGTCGTGGGCAAGGCCTTTATGGCCAACAGACAAAAAAAAGGAAAATAATAAATAATAAAAAAAATCAAAAATTTTAAAAAAATGCAAAAAAATTCATGTAGGATGATTTGCCGGAAATGACACTCAAATAATCGATTTTACTCCGATGTGATACTTATGTGAACGAAAAAAAAGTTATAGCATTCAAGTGAGGTTGTACGAAAGTTATGACATTCCTGTCGTTCTTATCACAAAATAAGATAGTGTTAAGCACCCAATTTCCGTTAAAAAATACAGTTGGTGTAGTAATTTAATATCACCTCGACCTTAAAAATCCAACAAATACCACATAGATAGTTCGGCGGCTTGAAGTCGAACGCTAAAAAATTTTGGGCTTATTCAAAAAGTCCTGAACGTATTGTACACTCATGCCACATAGGATGGCCGGCGTCCATGTCATCGATATCCAATCAAAATTGGCCGGAAGAATTACATTGGCAAATCGTCAATATGTTTATACTAAATTGACACGATTAAAAGGTTTATGACTAAACAATAGATTTAGGGCTTTTTGGATAATTTCCCTAAAAATTTTCTACTGCAGAGATAAAATATTGCATAATCACATCCTAAATCGCAAACGGCACGAGATGGCCAACATCGAAGAGTCTTATTTTTACATTACTAGGAGTAGAAACGATTTCCACAGAGCGATAGCAGTAATCTACAGAGCCTATGACACCCAGAGCAAACATTTGAATAAGGATTACAATACAAGCACTTGTTGTTCCCTTTAGTTAGATTTCAGCGTCCGAGTCATCATAGTCATGAACTCGTCCATGTCCACCGCGCCATCACCGTCCTGATCGACTGCTCTCACCATTTTCCGGCAATCCTCGAGGCTGCACCTCTCTCCGAGGTTCCCTAGGACCTTCAAAACCTCTTCGGCCGTGATTTTCCCGTCACCATTGAGATCGAATGTGGAAAACGCACTCTGGATGTCCCTCGTCTTTATCCCGCCCCCTTTCTTCTGCGCTTCCATGAACTCTTTGAAATCAATGAACCCGTCTCCGTCCAGATCAGCCACTCGGAAGATCTGCGGGACTTCCCCGATCAGGTTCTCCTTGCCGAGGGCTCGGAGAACCGCTTTGTACTCCTGCTGAGAGATCTTGCCATCCTTGTTGGAGTCGAACTTGTCAAAGACGCGCTTCGTCTCCTCCACATTAGGTTGAAAGGTAGGCAAGAGGCCGGAATTCTGTCTGGACCGTGAAGAGAAGAGCCGGGATGGCCCTCGCAGGATCTTCCTCTTGGAAAGGTTGTACTGCAAATCAAGATAGCTGGAAGTTGACATTTTCCAGGATGCAAAATTTTCAACCCTTTACAGGACACAGTTACATAAGCTTGGTATTTATAGTGATGGATTGATGGTAGACACACGCGTCTCCAGTTTGTTCGATTCTAAAGGCGTCATAATCTTGCTTTCATTCCGTGTGCGTGTGCAACTGTTACAGGAACCTTGTACCGATACTATCGGATAAACATTCCCCAACTTGCAGAACAATCCAGGTAAAGGTGACTCAACGACAAAGCATAGATTCCAAAACTACAAAGCAAGATGCAGAAAGACAAAAGCTGTGGTCGCAAGGGGAAGAGAACTACGTAAGAGAAAGAAAAGAATATATGCCTTTCAATGGCTGGGCAGTTTCCTCTTTCGGGTTATGCAATCAACTCTATTCTAGAGATGTTGCCTACGTTCTCTCCATATTGGACCTTGAGATTATTGTATTACAAGAATCCGTCTTCTAATCTACAGGAAAAATGATAGCACGAATGTGTAGGGGGAAAATCGCTCGGTTTGGGGAAAAATGGAAGAAGATGGGAGCAAAGAATCCTGGAGATGCTAATATGCATAGGTGTTGGTCAAGGCGGCTTTCCGTTGTCCAAATCTTCCATTACTTCAATATCCTTGCGAGCTGTTATCTTCTGCACATACCCTGCAGCAAGAATTTATCAAGATGAAGCCTTGGAGGTGTTCGTATCGTACATCAATGGCAAATATTGCAGACCTCACATATTTCCTCAGTGGTATTTATTAGGAGTAATTGACGTACTTCATGGTTATCACATCCACGTACAAAAAAAAATCATAGAAAAATTTAAAGCGTTTTACGGCTAAAGCAACCTGCAGATATACGCGACATGCAGCTGAGTGGGCTTTAGAAGGAAAAAACAGAAATATGCAGCCGAAACAGACATAGCGGGAAAGAAGTATCAATAATAGTTAAAGGGTCAATGCATTTTCCACAATACAAAAGGCTCATACCATCCTTCAAAGTACTGTACTGCACTTACTATATTCTGAAACAGTTCAAATAACAATACTACTAATACAATAGGCACATAGTGGAAACCAGAGTGTGACGTCGCAGAAAATATTACATTAGCCGAAAAAGTTGCTAATGCAAAGAGGGTCTATCGGTTAGAAAACGCGAAAGGAGGGTCTATTGGTTAAAGAAATAAAACCTGAGTCGAAGAACTACTTTGTAGCATATAATAAACACGAATAGAGGGTCTATCAGTTAAAGAAGACTCAGAGACGTAAATTCATATTGAGAGTGGATCTCCAGTTTAATTTCCTTGAAAAGGAAAACAAGCCTTAAAAGCTCTAAGATATGAATTATCTAGCTCACTCTCACCAAAGGAGAAAGTATTCTAGACTCTTACAATGCCCATGGAATGAGCATGAGTTACTCAGCTTTAATCAGATAAAAATAAGCTCTGCTGTATAGGTTTCGCTTTTTGGCCCCAACTGATCTATTGCGCAAAGTGAATCAGAAGAACAGCCTCTGACCAGCCCAGAACATATATGATGCAGACACATAGGATGGAGCCTGCATCGCACTCAACATGCTATCACAAGCAAGAAAATTGTTAAGAAGCATTGACCTCATGACTCACACAATAGCAAATAAACCAAAAGTTATACCCAACACATTTGATAAGTTGTTCTCTAAGGCTCTGATTGGGAAACCAATGAAAGAGGGGGCAACGGAAGCAGGTGTTAAGTTTGGAATACTTTCAAATTTCTGTGAGAGAGATATAAAGGGAAAATTTTACATCAAAAGTTATCCCCGACTCATTTGATAAGTCGTTCTCCAAGGCTCTATTCGGAAAACTAATGAAAGAGGGGAGAATGGAAGTGGGTATGATGTTTGCATATTTTTAAATTTCTGTGAGAGAGATGATATAGAGGGACAAGTTTAAATCTATTGAAATTTCTATTCCCATCCCCCCAATTTTCTCCACCTCCTAAGTTCCCAAATAAAGCATTATTCAACAATTTGGAATTTGCTGTTGTTTACAGGAAGGCAATGAAACTATCAGCGAACATTAACATATAATTGTTAAGACATCGAATTGTGTCATCATGCACTTATAAGTACAAAATAAAATAGCCCAAGACAGAAAGAACTCATGCTTTGAGGTTATCCCACTATACGATACGAATTTCTCAACAGGAAATAACAGCGCCAGAAATCATATTACACTTGAGAAACTATTGACCTCATGCAGCAGCCGTGTAGCTTAGCTTATGACCAGATACAACGATATGAACAGGAGACTCCTCTATTGAGCAATTTATTGGTACCATAGGTATCTATAAGTCAACATCAGAATGCTTCTACGTACAGGGAGCAGCCTTCATATTACAAACAAAAAAGTGACATCTCATCATATTCCTTCATAAAGTCCTTTAGTGATATTAACATGCCCCTACAATGGAAGATTTGCGTAGCTTCTCATAATGGAACTGCTTTAAGTCCACTTCAAATATGCAAAACAGGAAAAAGAATCTCTTTTAATAAACAGAATAAGAACAAATAATCCAGGATAGAATTAGCATAACGGGTTGCACAAGATCTCATGAAGATAATTCAATGGCTCGGAATAAAAGAGAAAATAAAGAACAATGTGCAACATCTAAGTGAGAATTAGAAGCACAGCTAGCAAAAAGATGAGTAAACATTCTTTTCTCTAGGATGGGCTTATTGCCTTGTTATGCTTCTATCCTCGAATCTCATGACTGGAGAAAATAAACTTTTTGCACAAGTAAAACTAGTTTTAGCTATTCAACAATAGTGTAAGTAGAGCAAAGCCCAATTTACTAAGGGGGAAAAGTGTACCAATTCCAAGGCAGGGTACGCATTTGCAGATAGTTTCCCTCCCTCTTTTGTTGTAGTAGCTGACAAATCCTGTACCTTGGCAACTTCGACATTTTCCAGTCCACTCATAAACCACTTCCTTGCAATCCTACAATTTCAACACCCAAGACAGGAATCCACTTCATCTGAGTCCCTCTAAATTGCTTGGATGAGAATGTCTTTAATTTAGAAGGAAATGGGATGACTGCACAAGTCATCTGATGAAATTGCGCCGCTAAATAAAACAAAAATAAAGTAGGATACGCTTGATTTCGAAGTTCCAGTAAACACGACAGCTAAAAGCATCATGAGCAGAGTTGGTTTGCTCAAAATTCATTCTCAGTCTCAAGTAACAAATCAAAATCTTCAGCTAAAGAACAGCACAAATTAGTTCACTGTATCTGTACCCACGAATCACACCAGAAAGTTGTGCCTTATTAGGAGTCGAGGTATAAGTTGTTTCTAGTGACAGCGCGACATATTCGTGTTCTTCATTACTCTTCACTATCATTTTGCTGCTTTAAAAGTAGTAATTCGACAAGCAACAGTACAGTTCTCTAAGAACAAAGACCAGCAAAATGCACCAGAAACCGCAAACAGCGCATCAAAACCATAATTCCTTCGAAAATCTACAGGCGAGTTCTCCCATTACTCAATTCTCCTATCACAGGAGGACAAAGCATAGCTAATCTTTCCGCACTTGGCGCAGTCCTACATAATCATTTTCCATCTTCATCAAAGCGACACTTTTTGAATGCCAAAGAAGCGAGCAGCTGATCTGCAGCAACCTCCGAAGTGCAATTCAACATACCAGCCAGGATTAAAGCTACATTAAGTGGAGAAAGAGAGAGAGAGAGAGAGAGAGAGAGAGAGAGAGAGAGAGAGAGAGAGAGAGAGAGAGAGAGTACCTACCTCAACAACAGGATCGCAGCGAAGTCGCTTGTCAATTTCCTCGGGGGCCACGGGCGACGAATTCGGGTACGTCATGGGGAGCGGGAGAGCGTCGCCGTCGTCCGTCAAGTAGCTCTCCCTGTCCCGCGACCACTTCCTCTCCCTCGCGTTCGCCTTCACCCCGCCAATGCCGCCGACGCCGCCGTCGCGCCTCGCCGCCGGGGCATCCGCCGCCGCGCCGCCGTCGAAGCCCGGCCCGGCCCTCGCAGCGTCCGCGGCGGACGCGGACGCGGACGCCACCGGGAACTGGAGCCACCGCGGGAACGCCGGGCCGCCGGCGGGGACGTGCGCCGGCGGCGCGGCAGGCGAGGGAGGGCCGCGGCGCGGCGAGGACAGGGAGGGCTTGGGGAGGACGAAGGCGGAGCTAGGGCTTATGGGGAACATCGAGTCAACGCATTGACCGGTTTCTGCCGATGCCGGTGGACTCTTCCGGGCCGAGAGGAAAATGGGTCGGTGTGGATTTTGCAGAGGGAGAGAGAGAGAGAGAGGGAAGGAGGGAGGACGAAAATGGAAGGGTGAGAAACCGAGGGAGAAGAACGTGGCCGCACCAAAAACTCAAAAGGTTTTGATTTTGATTTTAATTATTTTATTCATTTTGAATTTCATCTTCCATATGCATGAAATAACAAAAGCGAAAATGTAGTCGGTCGGCGAGCACATGCTTATTCCAGTAGCACGGAACATGCGTATTTTTGTCGAGAGGCATTTCTTCTTTTCATTCGCTTTTTTCTTTTCCTGTCTTCTCATTGTTCATCTTCTTTCGCAGGCCTCTAGCTCACCTACAGATGATTTGGCCGTCTTCTGTGGCCATTGGCAACGCGTTCAAACATTGCCTGGGCCGGCTCTTCCAAATCTGGCCGTCGGCACCGAACGAGCCGTCGTCCTACAGTTAAAAGCATATATTTAACTTGTTATCATCGCTCACGTGAGCAGACACAGGACATTAGAATACTCGTAATATGGAGTAATCAATAGGTTTCATCGACCACGCTTTCTCGCGAGTCTTCCACTCGATAGCAAATGATAGAAATCAATTAACCAAGTGACATGTCATATTCGATGCTTCGGCTCAAAATTCATTGCCTAGTCTTACATGCGAAAGCATGCACCGAGTCGCTCAAGCAAAGTTTTTTTCTTTTGTTCTGCTACGCCATTCTGCTGTGGTGTCCCAAGCACTGTGCGGTGTCTCACAATCCCCTATTTCTTGCAAAACTCGATAAAATCTTTACCAGAAAACTCCATGCCATTATCGGTTCTCAGGCATCCGATTTGTTTATCCGACTGCTTCTTAATTAATGCCTTAAATTTCTTGAGTCAATCGAACACATCAAATTTGTGCTTTAAAAGTATACCCATACCTTCTTTGAATAGTTGTCAATAAATATCAGCACATATTGAGCACCTCCTTTCGAAGGAGCCGGAGACGGGCTCCAGATGTTTGAATGAATATACTCAACTAGTTGCTTAGCCGAATGAATAGTTGTAGTAAAATTAATCCGATGCTGCTTCCCAAAGATGTGGTGCTCACATAAGTCTAGCTTCCCTATCTTCTTAACCTTCAACATCCTCCTTTCATTTAGCATCGTCATACCTGCCCCACTCATGTATTCTAACCGCATATTCCATTATTGAGTCAAGTCAAAATCTAACTAACCTGATGAAACTGCAGCAACTTCTGTCATGGTCTCTCTTAGTAGATCACTTTCTTCTATTTCATCACTATCATGGCACTGCAAGAGATTTTCAGTACTCCACCTTCAGCGGCGTACTTATACTTGATGTCATTGAGTGTTTCCAGAGAAATAAGATTCTTCTTGAGATCCGATACATGCCTTATGTCTGTGAGCGTACGCACCACCCCATCATGCATCCGAATTCGAACTATCCTCATCTTCATAACCTAGCAAGTTACATTATTTTCCATCAAAACTCTACCACCATCTGCAATCTGGTAAGTAGTAAACTAGTTCCTATGAGGCATCATATGATAAGAACACCCCAAATCTAGCACCCATTTGTCTCTTGACGAACTAGTAATCACACATAAGATAGTCTCTGCATTACTGGTGCTCTCCTCGGCAACGTTCACCACACTGCTTGTGGCATCCTACCTATCACCTCGGTTTTTCAGTTTCGGACAGTCTCTCCTTATGTGCTCCTACTTTTGACACTTCACGCATTCCTTGGACTTTCTATGGCGTGACTTCGACCTGTTTTTACCTCTACTGCTATTATACTCCCGATGTTGATTTATACTTCAAATCACTAATACCCGCGCTACATCCTGCACTAGACTGTCATCTTGCAACTTTCTCTGCCACTTCTTAGAGAAAAAGGTAGACTTTACCGCTTAGTGCACCCATGTAGTAATTGTTGGAGAAACATTTCCAAATGAATTTTGATGATACCCAAACTATTCTTGATATCATATCTACATTGTCTAAAAGTACAGATATATTCAATGGACTGAGTGATACTCATAATATTATTCATTGAAGAAAAGATCACAAGACTGTCCTTGAATGATCAGATAAACAACACCATCGATCTCAAAGATTAGCTAAATAACGATGTCTTAATTCAAGCTAAAGAGATATAGTAATCGGTAATGTTTAGGTAATGGTTCATTTAATATGACTGTTATGTCACTATTGTAGCCGTTGGGACTGGACAGGCACAGCAGAAGACCCAGCAGAAAGGAGAACAGTTAATCTGACAGGTAGTTAGAATCGCAGCTACAGTGCAACAGCAGAAGCTATTTCAAGAAAGTCTGCAAAAGTTCAGGAATAAGCTGTATAGGCGGTCAGTTCCAAGGATAGCAGCACCAACGACTCTAATGGCTATTTTTGCCTCTTTAGGATATTAGCAACGACTAGTTTGAAGATGTCTATAAAAGAGAAGGTTTTTGAAGCCAACAAGTTAGAGAAAAATAGTGAACTTGTAATTCTCCAAAAGTCACTTCTCGCTGTATACTAAGCTAAAAGATTATGTCTGTTCATAGAACTTGCTGCATTGTAATTGTGTTGAAAAGTCAAATGTACCAAGTGATAGCTACATCCACCTCTTGGTAGTGTGATCTACGAATTGATAGGAGTGGTGCATACCGAGTGTAACTTGATCAGCAAATTACTAGTGCAATCCAGCCCAACTTGTGGCCGTTAGTGGTGAGAGTGGACATAGGCTTGGAATCAAAGCTGAACCACTATATAGCCTTGTGTGTAGCTACTTGTTCTTTTGTTTATCATTTCCAGTATACAAGTGATACATTGTTTCTTGTACATTCAGTGTAACCTAATACTTATTCATTTCACGCTATTTTCCACAAAAGTTTTAAAATCTTCCAAATCAACCTATTCACCCCCCTTTAAGTTGCATAATTAGTCCAAACAGTAATAAATCGTTAAAGTGCACCAATGACTCTGGTAAATAAGCTACAACATCATATCTTGCTCTTCATCATCTAAAATCTTACCGACGTTTTTTAAATCTATCATGAGTTTATGGTGAGATCTGATAAATGTACTTTCGGCGTATTGAAACTAAAACATCTTCTTCAACATGTATAAGTGATTATTCAAACACTTCGTTATATAGTGTCTTATGTTTAGCCCACAACTTTGCGGCATCCTTCTTGATTACCTCTTTTAACACCCCATCTGATAGGCTCAACAGGATTATACTCATTGCATTCCTCATTAGCACGTCCTTTTTGGTATCTTTTATTATTTCGGGCAACTTATCATTGGCCTCTAATGCTTCAGCCAAAGCTTGGATTGTTCATAGCACCTCCATCTTGATGCTCCATAACCCAGAGTTATTCCTTCCGTTAAACTTCTCAATTTCTACTTTTGCTCCAAACATAATTGTAACAATAGAATTTTCAGAGAATAATCAGACAAGAAAAAGCCCCAAAATAAAATCTAGAAGAACATATCTTTAAGCTCTGATACTAATTGTGGTAATATTAACGCGGAAACTGATAGGATTTTGCAATTAAATCCATGCGAGAGAAACAAAGAAATAAACGATGAATGATAAAGCACACAAAAGATTTACGTGATTCAGTCCGAGTGTCGATACATACATCTACGGGTATAGCTATCATCAAATAATCCACTATAATTGGAGAATCAAAGCTACAATTGCTCATATGCTCTCATATCTAGATTAAGCCCAAATCCAAGTGTTTATAAATGAACAATTCAATAGGATGTAAAACTCATAGAACAAAATCACCGTGTTCACGTCGGCGCGGCCGAAAACCAAGAACGTCGTGCATACCTTTCTCTTCTACACTCGGCTTTTTGCTCTTCACTGTGCGGCTCTTCCCTGTGCGGCTCGCCGTCGCTCCTGTGCACCTTGGGAACCCACGCCCTAATTCTCTTTCTTTTATATGAGTCAACAACTTTTCTTTTTTCGCCTGGACCCACCACATATATATTCATTTAATATATTTGAGTCCATTTTGTTGTGCGGCTTCAAGGAGTCAAATGAGTTTATCAACAAATCACAAAGCAAAGCAGAGACGTCCACTGTATGGGCCAAAAAAAGAGCGAGTTTGCTTTCATGAGTCCAGCTAGGACTTTCCTTTTACGCCTCATCCAATCGGATCGAGTATCATGCATCAAACTTGAGAAATAATTTAATATCTTTCATGAAGAACCCTAATCCCGATTCTTCAAATGGGGGCAAATCACCTTATCAAATTTGCGAAAGAGAGCAATTGGACCGTCAAAATTCTTTGGCTTCGAATAATTCATTTCCCTTGTCCAAGTGAAAGGAAAACCCGATGTCCTAAGACACTCTTCCTAAGAACAAATCTCACAGATAAAGACATAGAGACAGCTTCGGCTTCCATTTTGATGAGCACAAGCCAAAAGATGCCTCCTTTGAAGCTCGTATGCTCTCTTGTTTTCGGCGAAGCCATCAATCCATGAAAGCTCCCTCTCTAGAGGCGCCGACGATGAAGGAGAAATCGAGAATGAGGTTAGAGAAAGACCCATATCAAGATCAAGTGCAATAACAAGAACGAGAAAAGAACGTCTCCAAATCAAGAACCGCAGTCCTCCTCTTCCGCCCTACCAGAGAGCTCATCACCGATACATTCTTGCGTTTCTATAGAGTTTACGAGTTTTAGAGAAGAATTATTTAAAGAGGGAGAGAGAGACGTCGTCGTTTGAGGAAGCAATTAGAGAAGCATTTAGAGAGACGTCCTCGTTTTTGTAGAGGCAACATTTAGAGAAAGAAAAAGAAAAGACGTTTTTATTACTCTTGCCATGTTGGACGAAGAATTTCCATGTTTGACTTCAATTTCTTTTTAAAGAGACACGTCGGAGTGAAAATTTAAGTTAAAAGGCCACATAGGACGAATTGCCGAAGTAAACACTCAAGTGAACGATTTTACACTGATATGGCACTCAATGAACGAAAAAAAAAAGTTATGTCGCTCAAGTGAGCACCATACAAAAGTTATAGTACTTGCGGTGTCATTATCCCATTAAAGAGCAAACTTCCCTGTCTGAGTACGTCTCTAAGATGACGGATGCAAGTATAGTAAAAGTGGTCCAACCTCCTCAACAAAAAAAAAAAAAAAACCCAGATGGCGGTCCAACCTCCCCGACAATCAACCAAAATAATCGAATCACATCAGCACCGGCGAAAACATAGAATTGGACAATTGACAAGAACAACAGGTTGGAGGAAACGAAGAAGACGTGGCAAAAGATCATGAGAGTCATTTGAGAAATGCCAAACGCGTAGTGATTTTTACTTATATCCGGCAAAATATTGATGTTAATAGTAAAAATATTAATAATACCTGATCAAGTAGACGAAGTGGCTTTGATACGTCTATCCACAACTATTGGATTTTCGTCAAGTATTGATCAAAGGCTCTATGCGTGCTCAAAGACGAAAAACAATTACTTGTGAATTGTTTCTAGAAAATGCTCGTACTAAAAGATCACGAAAAGTGGATCCGGCATCCTCCTCGGCTGTTTACAATACAATCGAACACAAAAGATTTTGACTCGGTTACGGAGGGAACATGTTGAACAACAGTGATTCCCGGATGAGTAGAATAAGTAATCTAATAAGATTCGAATGGTGCATTTATGATCTCCAAACAGTAAGACACAATATATATCACACACGAGGAGAATGCAATGCTAAAAAAGTGCTTTGAATGGCATGTTTTCGATACGTATCCACGAGATGGTTCGAATATACAAGAAAACTCTAGGACTTAGAAACCTCGAGGTCTGCCTGTTCATGGATCAGTCTTGATCTTTCGTTCAGAAACCCTCGAGATCAATCCATATCTCTGGGCCATGACACATGCCTAACGTTTTGTGAAGTGTCTCACCACTCCATCGAGCATCCTAATTTGAACCGTTTTGAATCCTACTATATTGCAAGAGCATCATTTCCCATTAGTGCCTTACCACCCTAAGCATTGAGGTAGTAAACTAACGATTATGAGAAGTCACATGATAACAACATTAGAGTCAAGTTCTCAATCATCACCTGTTGAACTCATCGTGACTGCTAACACATCATATGTATTACTGAAACTATTATTTGCTGTGGT